AGCCCCGCGCCGCCGCTGCCCTCGGCGCACACGCAGCCTGGCAGGGAGGCAAGGGCAGCGCGTGAGCACAAAGCAGCCGTACACACACACACACACACACACACGCACACACACACACACACACAGGCACATTTTAAATATAACACATGTACTGATTGCCTTTTTCAGACCTCCTGGTCAATATAGAAAGGGGAGCTTTCCTCTAGCTGCTACAGGTACCAGGTTACCTTTTATTTCTCTGCTGCTGTCAAATGCTATTATCACCTCAGGGTATTTTATTACTGTTAGTGGGAATAGCAGATGAGCAGAATTCTGAGGGGCAACTGGGAAAGGGATCCTGGGTTTTCAGAATTTATTTCCTCTGTGCGCTTGTCAGGACTCCCTTAGTCAACTTTACWGTTTCTCCTGGAGAGAAAATCTGTTTTTCACTGGCCATTTTTTTCTGTGGATTTTACAGTACAGCAGGAGAACAGAGAACACATCCTAAAAATAAGTACAAGTGTAAAACCCAAGAAACTGGCAACAAGGAGAAGCAGGTGGAGGGCCCAAAAGAACTTTTAAATTAAGAATAAATAAAAAGGCTGAGCTTTGAAGTTGACAGACCCTTTAAAGATTCCCCAGCAATGTAACACTTGCAGTGTGAAAGTACTCTCACATTGCAGGAACAGCTCAAGATCCAGCAGTGCTCAGCCAGCTGCAAGCAATGGTTATCATAAGCCCTAGCCTGCCTCTTTCTGACGGTTCCTTGAATTCAAACCACGCAAGATGCAGAGAGGATCAAAGCAGGCAGGAGAAGGCAAATTTACTGCCCTCACACCTGAGAATCATTCGGGGCTTTTTTTCTTAAGGTAACCATTTCTCGTCTTAATGTTGTCTGACTTGGAGGGCTCTCTGATCTACACAAACATGAAATACCTTTCCAGATTAATGGCTTTTGTACCTGTCTTATCTGGAACAAGCATTCCATCAGCCATGTCTTCAGTTTGCCAAGTGTCTTTATCATAGCCCATACACAGCTTGGCCTGTCTGCAGCCAACAGTGGGAGCTTCAACATCTGGACACCTTCCAGCATCAGGCTGACACATACCTGTAGCAAATGAACCAGCCGGGTTAAGATTACAACCATCTGCTCGCTCAGCTGAATGACCCGATAAGTCTTATTTTTACTGTAAAAGCTATGAAAAGGAGAAAAAGAGCAATGGAGCTAATAGATAATTTTAAGCTAATGTTTAACAAAATAAATGCTCTATAATCTCAGGGGAATCTTAGTTCAGAATGTTTAACTTTTCCTTCTTAAGGTGCTGTGAYTAAATACTGTAAAATCCCAGCATTTAATTTCTAAGCCTGAAGGCAGGGACTGGCCATGCTAATATATTTTGTAGTAGAGTTTAACTGTGGATAACATGGGTGCCAAAGAAGTAATCCAAAAATTACTCCTTAGGGCCCGACTGATTTGCTCCTGGAGTGGAGCTGAATGCTGTTAGTGGTGGGAGACGGCACCCTGGTAAAGCGAAGGCCAGAGCCTCGCTCTGCACAACTGCAGTAGCTAGAGCTGAAGAATTTTGTGCAGTGCCTTCTCCCTCCCTGTGCCAGGCCTGGACACCCTGTCACAAAGGTGACCAGGGCAGCTCTCACCGTTGCTCTCTATGTGCCCGTTGGGCTGTTGGTTTTCCACTCGGATGACCGTTTCCTGCCGATCGGAGAGAGTCCCTTGGGAAGACAAGTAGCTCGGCACGTCGGGAGGCACGATGGTCTCATCTGGAGCAATGGCAGRAGGGAAACATCAGCGGGGAGGTTAAAGCTTCTGTTTTCAAATGCAGCTAGCTCTCATTTTCACAAGGGATTTGGGACCGCTTCTATAAATGATAATTTTCCATAAATGCAACAAATTGGAATTGAACCATCTAACTGCCTAAAAGCTAAGGCCCTAACTGTTTTTAATCCTTCTCTAATACTGTGAGATTTGGTGCTGATAGACCATTTTGGATATTGGTTTTGATTACCAAGTCTTTGAGAATATAGATTCCCAGTGTGGGTTCCCAGCACCAAGGCCATAGTTCAAGAGTTACTGGTCATGGAAAAGCAAAGTAACAAAGCAAAGGCTGAGGCTGCTGCCAGGCGAACAAGACCTTGCTGAAAAGCCAGCCAAGGGAGAAACGCAGCTCTGAATACGCTTCAGCAGCAGCTCAAGGCTGGTTCTGGCTTTCTGAGCCAAGACAACCACTGAAATAAGGCAGCTGCTCTCCCAGTGTGATTGTGGCTACCCAAGGTGTTGGTTGTGCCTCAGCGGGAAGTCTCCTAGCCCAAACGGTCTGAGAGAACCTKAACAGGAGACTAGACCTACCTGTGTTGGTGACACTGTATTCTTCACTCTTCTTCCTGGTTTGGTAGATGATGCAGACCCAGACCAGAGAGGTGAGCACGATGCTACACACCACTGCAATGGTGATGATCCCCACCGTGGTACGGTCTTTCCTGCAGCCAAGGGACTGCAAGATGCTCACGTGGCTGTGCGCGCGCTCTGTCCCCACCGTGTTGGACATCTCGCACGTGTATTTCCCGGCGTCCTCCAAGACAACGTTCCTGACGATCAGCAGCTGGTTGCCAGGGGTGAAGTGGTGCCTTTCAGTCATGACCAGGGGCTGGTCGCCCTTCAGCCAGGTGATGCGGGGAGATGGGCTCCCTCTGGCTTTGCACTGCAGGGCCACCGTCTCACCCACGGACACTACGTGGTCTTCCAGGGGGTGAATCAAAGATGGGGTCTCTGCAGGGGAATAAACACAGAAATCAGTTCCTGGGGACAGTAGGCTAGCAGATTTCTGTTACATTTTCTTCAACATTATAAAATAAACCTGGTGTTGCTGCAGACAAGCACAGTGCAGTGCACTGCATGGCGCTGCGCCCAGGGGATGGGCGGCCTCCCACCACAACGGTTGAGATTCACGACCTAACACACACACCCAAGGCCTTCTCCCCCACCAAAGCAACACCTAGGAGAGGGTAACAGCTGACACACATCAATAGTCTAGTCRGGCAAGAGAGCTGGAGTGCAATTTCCTTCTGAAATGATTTTCCCAAGCAGGAAATAGCATCGTTGGAGGGGTTTCCTTGGCAGACAAGGGAACATGACTTACAGCTCCTTTTCATTTTTTAATTACCAGGGTATTTTTGATTAGTTAGCCACRGTGTAAAGGAATGAAACAGGACTAACACAGAGCACAGACTCCATGTCCCAGTTGGGCATCARCAGACGCTCAGGAGCCCGAGCAGAACTGCCTTCCCGTTCTCACTTCTGGATTCCCCCAGGGCATCTACTGCACCTTACCCAGCACGGTGAGGGTGGCGTTAGCGAGCACGGAGCCTGCGAAGTTCTGCGCCGTGCAGCTGTAGACGCCCATGTCCTCTATCTTGACGTCCATGATGAAGAAGACGTCGTCGTCGGGCATGACGTGCATGCGGCGCTCGCGGGCCGCGGGGAAGTCGGTGCCGCCGTCCTTCTGCCAGGCGATCTGCGGCGGGGGGTGCCCCTCGGCCGCGCACTCCAGCTGCACCATCGTGCCCGTCCGGCTCGTGATGTCGTGGGGGGTTTTGGTGAACGAAGGCAGCACTGAGAGGGAAAAACAAGAGAAAGGGATGAGGAATTCCATGGAGAAGGCACCACCTCTGGATAGTTGCATGTGTTTATTTTCCTAGGTGGAAGAGGGCCATGAMAGTCACCCACAGGACAGAAAGCTGCTGTTGCAACATACCGCTAAGCTGTTGGGGACCAACCCTGTATTTCCATAGCACAAACATGTCTACAGTACCCAGGACACCCCCACTTGGGATCATCAGAGCTGGGATTGAAGCTAATTGTCTTCTTTGATTAACTTGGAACGATTTGTGCTTGGGGACAACTTGCTGAAGTGCTCGGCTGCACAGCAGCCATCCCAGGGCTGGCGTGTGCTCCTCACATGGAAATCACAGAATGGTTAAGGTTGGAAGGGCCCTGTAGAGATCATCTAGTCCAACTCCCCTGCTCCAGCAGGGACAAGAGCTGTAAATCACCAGGAGTGGGCCCTGAGCTGTGACTGCCCAAAAGGGGTTCGCAAGGAAGTGCACGAAATGAATTAGAGAGCAGCTTCCCACTCACCATTAACAGTGAGCTGGGCCTTGTTGGAGTAGGTAGAGCCGAAGTGGTTGGTAATGACGCACTGGTAACGCCCCTCGTGGGTGAAGGTGACGTGCCGGAGGTGCAGRATGGTCGTGTACTCCATCACCTCGCCATCCTTGGCACGCACGTGYGCGAAGTTCTCGATCTCAGCGTTGCGCAGCACCTCGTTGTCCTTTTTCCACGCGAACAGCATGGGGGAGCTGCTGCTGCTGGCCGCCGAGCAGGTGAAGCGGATGTCCTTCCCRAGCACTGCCACCGTCGTCTCAGGCTGGATGATGATTTGGGGCTTGGGGAAATCATCTGAGAGAGAAAGGAAAGAAAACAAAAACCAGGCAAAGTTAGTCCTGGACTGTGAGGATGAACTAATCTAGGCCTATGTTAAATGAGTTTATCTGCAGTCAAGGGAGTCATCAGGACTAGGAGTCCGATGTGCAGTGTATGAATCTACCTGGTACCTTGCACAATGGGATTTTGCCATTGATCTTGGGCCTCAAAAAGGTACAAAAGGAAATACCGTTCCCGGCGTGAGCCAGCAGCCCTGTCAGCCGACAGCTCTGCGTGCAGCAGCCTGAGGGGCAGGACRCTTGCAGCAAGGCGCTGCGAGGCTCTCTGCTCTCTGGGAACGAGTGCCCACAAGCAGGGAACGCAGCCTGGGCCGCAGTGGGGGCACCCTGGTCACCCTGCACTGTGGACACCTTTGCCCGCTCCCTCTGCCCAGGAAGATGGTTGTTTTAGCCGGGTTCCAAGCAGATTCATTTATTAGATTTCTACAAATGGTATAATTTAATATTTGACTAMGGTTTAATTAAACAGGCAGTCCTCTGGAGCCAGGCGTCTTAGTGCCTGAAGGGCTTGGCAGGCTCCGGAGAAGCAAAGCTGTCCTCACTTGGTGCTGCTGCTGTGGGGAGCAGGGCAGCGGGATCTCTTCTTCCAGCGCCCCCCTGACTCACCCAGAGGGAGGCCACCGAGGCAGCCCCGGCATGGGACTCGGTGCTCGGGGGGACRTGGGACAGCAGCTGCAGCAAACGTTTTGCTCAGTTCTCAGTATAAGTCATGCATTCAACTAAATTAAAGGGGGCCTCAGAGGCACATTTGGGCTCCCTCCAACAGCCATGTGCTGCTCCACCTGGAATCCAGGCCTGGCATCACAGGACAGAGCTTCCAAAACCAGACCTTCATTCTACCCCAAAGCAGGGTGCACAAGCAACACGACGTGGGCCTCTCCAGATCATTTATGCTTCTTTATGTGTAAAGTTTGTGTGTTGGGTATTTAGCAAAGCTGCTTGGCAACCACAGCCCAAGTGCAGAGACAACTGCAGCGAGTGCTGGGTGGGAAAACAGCTGTAGCTGCTGCCTGCCCGAGAGAACGGCCACAGGAGAGAAAACAAGGCTGCAAAATGCAACTGTTGGTTGGTTCCTGTGTCACACACGGTCACAGGGGCTGCAATGGAGAGATCCTCCTCTACTTTTTTTTTAACCCTTCGTTTTGTTTCCAAGAGGGAGAAGAGATGAACAATAAGCCAGAGCACAAGCTCATAATGCTGCCGGGTGCAAGATTCATAGCTGCAGGCCCCATAATATCAAACGGAGAGGACTGGAAATCTCTGTGCAGCCCAGTTTGGAAGTGGAACAACCAGGAGTCCCTTTTGATTTAATACTCAGGGAGCCCTGTAAGGAATATCCTAGATACAAGCAATGCGCTGTGTGGTTTTGGTGGGAAATAAATTGTAGCCAATGACAAATTTTTAAAATGTAGGCTTGGGCTTGCTTTGATCCCATTGAATAACAAAACAAAACAGAAACTGCCTCGTAATAACATGCTAGTAGTCAAAGAAAATGTTTCCCAAGTGAGTCCTGCCCTTCATCCAACCTCAAAACACAAAGGCAAGACTTACCACACACAAAACTCTCTGGCAACACAGCAAAGATGCTCCTGCCCTTCAGGGCCTCGGGATGGGCGCAGGTGGCCACCACGAAGGCCTGCAGCTCCTTCTCAACTAGCCACGGGGGCAACCACTTCAGCTGGCAGTCGCAGAGGAAGCTGTCGCTGTTTATGTGGCTGCAGGGAAACAAAACCAAGACAAGGCTGTGGATTCCTGTGAAGAGAGAGGGCTCCAAAGCTCACAGCCCTTTCACGTTAGTCTCATTCCTCCCTCCCAGCATGGGCAGAGGAAAGGAGAACTGCAGGGTTGTCCTCTAGGCACAAAACTAATGGTGCTAAATAYGTCACACGTTCAAACTGCATTTCACCTCTATGCAGAGCAACCTACTCCCATACTCCAATGATGCTTCCTGGTGCCTTTTAATTAACTAATTAACTCTTGCAGCGATCCTGAGGAGCAGATAAGCAAGGTCATGCCTGGCCTACGTGAGGGAAACTGAGGCAGACTGCAAAGGATACGTGCAGCAGAGGCCCATGAAAACCCACGCACGCTGCTCCGCTATCTCACATCTCATTACTGCACTTGCTCCTTCTCTTTGGTGGGCACTGAGCTCAGGACTTCATTCCTCAGTCCTGAGAAGATGCCAAGAAGCTCCCTAGGACCTTTGGCCACCTCAGAGGCCAGAGTGAAGAAGGCCCTGGCCTCCTCCTCCTCCTGGTACGTGTTAGCAAACAAGCATCCCGAAGAGGGTGACACGTGTTGTGTTTATTGGTTAACTACCAGTACAGAAACAGTGAAGGGGAAGAGACCAAAAACATTTGTGCAAGCCCAACACAAACAGTGACTAATTTTGAAAGCAAAACAAAAAACATTTCTCAGCATCCTACTAGTAACTTAGCACCTTCTGTTTAGAAAAGAGCTTTGAAAAAGGAGCGAGTTAAATGGGAGCCTCAGGACTTTTYGTTTTGTTTTGTTTAAATAGGCCGGGCCAAACAGTGTCTCAGAATAGCTCTGAAGCCAGGGAAGAGCTGCAAGTATACAGCAACAGGGAATTTAGGCTATGGTATGGTTTGGTCCAAAAAAAACTGGGACAATCCAGTCTGATCCTTAAAATTGAACGTGAGAGGCCTCAGAGACTGTGGGAAAAAGGTCACTGACAGAGAAGCCCCACTCTGCAATACTGCAAGCTGCACGAGAGCAGGATAGAAGAGCACAGCAGAATCCCAATCCCAGCATTATTTTATGGGAGGATGTGAATCTCCCATTTTTCTCCTAGAAAATCTTAGGAAATCTGGAAGTCTGAAACTAGCCAGAGGAAAGGGAAAAGGGAAAGGCTGGAGAAGAACGGAATGAGGAAATACAAGCACCTGCCTTTCCAAAGTTGTCYACTTTGCTATCCTAGATAGATATGCTGCCCTAAAATGTGTGAYGGATATAGCTGAGAAAGCTCCGAGACGCTTTTACACTTCAGTAAAATCCCTTTTGCATATACAAATGTATGTTCCTTCAGAAGAACTGGAGTCCCACGAGCTTTTCCTCTRATCAGAGCAGATGCTTTCCCCTTAATTCTATTTCCACAGCCAGTGCAACTCCAGAGTCAGCAAGAAGAGCCTGATCCTGGCCCAAGTACCAACTGAGGGAATTCTTGCTCCACAGACCTGGTGCACAGTGTGCAGCAATGCACAGACAGTGGATTAAATATTTATGGAGAAGAGGAGAAAAGGGAAACCGGGCAGGACTGGAAACAGTGTCTGATAACAGTGCAGAGCTCCAGCCTGGAGCACAAGCAGTAGCTCTGATAACACACCCATATTTTTATAGCAGGAGGCTGGATGACAAGTGGATCCAGTTCAAATGGAGCTTATCACTGAAATGTCAGTACTGTATGTGAGCCCTAAACATAGGTACAGCAGAGGAGCAGATGGGCCCCCGAGAATTAAATCAATCAAAGTGTAAGAGGGAGAGAGGGCTAACAGGACAGGCCTGGACTTCCTGAGCGGAGATGAATAATTGCACAGATGCAAACCTGCTGGAGGAACCTGTTCCAATGATCTAATTTCAGTCACCACTAAATGCAAGATGTTCCCCTGACATCTACTTATGTGTAAAAATACCCTGYAGAGGAGCACAGGGGAGAGGAGGAAATAATTGAGCTGTAATGTGAATAACACCCCACTGGAAACAACGTGCTGCTTCTCACGTCCAGGGCAAGAGGGATCCCTGCCTCTTGCCCGGGGTGCTCACGCCAACAACTTACAGCTGCCGCAGGCTCCTCATCTTGGCGAAGGCGTCTGCTTGCACGGAGCGGATGGCGTTAGCGCCGAGGTTCCTGCAGAGCAACCACAGGCACTTTCAGCAAAAGGGCTGCTCCGGAGGCAGGAAATCTCCCTATTTAAGCAGTGACTCAAGGAGCAGATGATAGGGCAGCTCCTTGTCCGGGCCATCTGCACTTGCAGCTCACAGAAAAGGCATTCCACAAAACACTTAATATGGAGCAAGTATTAACGAGCAATAGGCAGCCGAAAACAAGCAGGGGAGTAAGTCACCAGGTCACTCCATAGCCCTTGTTCTTCACTGCACTGTTGCAGTCTCAGCTGCCTCTAATCCTCCCTAGCCCAGAAATTCCTCAGCCCCCTTGATAACCGGATAGCCAGGAATGCCCCATCATGACCAGACCTTCAGCAAACAGACAGGGCAATATTTGCACCGAGTGGCATTTGCAAAGTTACGTGAACATGACTTTGAGAGGATACTGTTGTGCCTGGAAAACACTGCAATGTTTCCCCAAAAAGCTATTTTTGAAAGCTCCTGTCACAACTATCACTAACTGAAAATTTCATTTATTCTCYAAGAAAAAAAWAAATAAATAAATAAGTGGTGTCAGATTTAGGGCTTATATTTCATAAGGGAAGTGCTGGACAGACAAATGCCAGTCAYACTTACAAAGGAAATCTCAGTGCAGCCTTAAAAAGGAGGCTCTATCTGGGAACGTCCCCCCAGTCAGGCAGCCTTGAGCGCCTGCCTCAGCGCCTGCAACGCTCACGTGAGTCGCGGCCGCTGAAGGAACCACAGCAAAATCCCTCATACTTCAGCGTGCCTTGATTCCAAAAGGAAGCTACTCATGAGTTACTGCTGGAGTCATCAGCCTTGGGACACACAGCAAAAAAAAAAAAAAAAAAAAAAAGAGCAGGCAGCCAAAATTTACTTCTTGCCAGTGGCTCTGGTTGTGTTGAATGGGGACGCTGGGTGCCCGCCTTGCACGCTGTCATTGGCAGCACACGTCATTGCCTGAGCCTACATTTAGGGGGAATGGGGGCCAGGGAGGAGCAGGGAGGGCCACAGGCAAACAGCAGATTTCCTCTGCAGACTGCAAAGCAGCAACGTGCAAGTCAAGGTGCTATTTATCCAYGTACAAATCAAAAAATTAAGAGCACGGAGATTTGCCATATGTTCTATAACTTTGTTCCTGGCACAAAAAAAGGCCAAAGTTGAGGCGAACGTATAATGAGAAGGAAGCAGGTGGCCCCCACAAATGGATTGACTTCTCAGCTTACAAAGCTGCTATTAAATTGCTAGCAGATCTCGCAGGCAGCTCCTTTTGGCAGACCCCCCTTCCCCAGCTCGGAGGCACTGGGGTTACTCACAGGTGCTCCAGGGCCTCCAGGCCTGAGAACGCTTTCTTGGCCACCGACTTGATCTTGTTTCCAAACAGAGTCCTGCAGTTTCCAAACATCCATTGCCAGATAAACAGAAAGAAAATGGGGAGGGGGAAGAGAAAAAGAGAGAGAGAGCACAATTAGTGTGGCTGTATCTGATACAGGCACTCAGTGTAAGGCCCAGGAAATCTGAACTGCACGGAGATTAAGGGGGCTGAAGTACATTCACTTTCCCACTCCTGAAATTAAATCCTTTTATCTGTATTTGAATTTAATAGTGATGACAGCATGAAAGGAAATGTGCCATATCATGTAAAAAGGCAGGTTTGCTGCAGTACTTGGAAACCAGCTTGCTGAGTAACAGAAGGTCCCCTCTACTCTTTGAAGGCTGGCTGCAGACAGGATTAAGTGCAGTGACAGTTTAACAAGAGCCTGGGCTCTCCCTGCAACACTTTTCATTTCTGCCCTCTTCCCAGATAGCAAAAGAGGAGAATTTCTTCCCTGTGCCTTGGCCTCAATGCACATCCACGTGCAAGGATTGGGGCTGTGTCTTGGCCACATGTTTCTGCAGCACCTAACAGAAGGGCTGACTCCCTGCCTTGGCCTTTCTAACCATCACTCCAGAGTAAGGTCATGCAGTAAATAAGCCCCATGCCCAGCAGGGCTGCTCTGGAGCTCAGCAGCAGCAGGATGGAGGGACTGGCACCTAATGCAGCTGCGCTCATGGCAGCCTGGCTGGCACGTGTAAAGGAACAATTTTCTATAAATATTGGTGAGCTGCAGAGTTCATTAAAAGAAATGTATCGCCAGGCACCAAAGGATGCATGCAAGGACAGAGATATCTATACAAGTCGCTTGGCAAAGATACCTTKTTCTATTGAATGCTTGCAAAGTCTTTCTTAATATCAGCACCACAYATTCTCTGAGCACGATGGAGTAAATAACTGACTGTATGTAGACTCTAGCCCTATAGCTGCACTCATATACGCTCACTTAGAGAGCCATATTCCTACACAAGTGTGTTATGCTGAGCTCGGATTCAGTAACTGGAGATTTCTAAGYATTGCTTATAGTGGATCTTGGACTCTTGGGTTCTATCCAATTTTATCTATATTCTAGAGATAGATACCTGTACCTATATTTACCTATGCGTCCAGAGCTGAGGAACAAGTCTGGGCATGTGAACACAAATATCTTCACACCACATGTGTAGATGGGTCCGATTTTGCGGTTGTTTAYATGAGAAATCTGCAACACACTGATAACAGCTCTGTGCCCAGCGAACTCATTAAAACCAATCTTCCTTTCGAGCTTCAAGGGGCCGAAGCCCCTCCAAAAGGGGCTACTCCGTGGTGGTCATGAGGCTGCGTGATCCTCGTGACACACCCAAGTGTGGCCCACGCGGCCCCTCATGACACCCAAGCAGCCACACGCGGTCCGTGCAGCTCCTCAGCGAGCAGCGATTCCCCCTGTGTCGCCTTCATGCCCACAGGAAGGGCTCAGGCCCCACGGGAGCCCTTGGAAACCCGGCTACATTCAGCAGCCTGAGTGATTAGGGAGCCGCTTGCTCCCCAGCCCTTCCACTGATGCTCTTCATGCTCCGCTGCTTYTCGGCTCCCTCTTTCTTGGAGCAAWATTTTAATTTAAGCCCTGCACTCTCCATCTCGGAGAGCTTCATATATAATTTAGAGAAGGCTAAAGTGAGTGGCCTCCCCACCTCTCCGTTTAACACCTTCATTACAATGAACAACCCTGTCCCTGCTAAACCCTTTCAGAGGCTAATCTGTGCCAGATCAAAGGGGAGCAGCTTTTAAGGCAATCTCCACAGAGCTGAGGTGATTATTAATTCATTGCAAGGTCTCCTCTGAAGTGCCCATTTATTTTTTGTATGCTAATGCATTTAAAACCATTGACGGTTTAAACGCAGACAGTGAGAAGTTCTCTATAAAGGCCAATATTTTATTTTAATTCCAAAGAAAAGCTCTGCCAGCAGGAATGATATTCACTTTGGCCTTAACTGAGATTTCAAATTTGGGATTTAAGTGCTGATAAGCTAAACCAGGGCAGATCCCTTCAATGGTAAACACACTTAAGTATCCCAAAATGCCTCAGGAGATATAATAAAATAATCTCATATTTTGAGAGATTTTTTCCTCCTCAGTCTCCAAAAAAAAAAAAACAGAACATTTTGGTACCATTTGGACCAAAACCACATGATCCCAGCAAGGATTAACACTAGCAGCCTGTCTGTCCCACGGCAGGTTCCTTCCCTTCGGTAACCAAACCACCTCCTGCTGGTAGAGCCCAACTGATCCTGGTGCTCTTCAAGGCTCCGGAATTTGCTGCAGTCTTCCCAAGCTGCGGGAACAGCCAGACTCAGCACCAGCCCAAGGCCACATGCGGTGGAAAACAGAGGAGAAAGAAATGGGGCAAGACGTAAACCTGGTCATCTTTAGACCCGGCCACGTGCCCTGCTACTGGCAGGGAAAATTAGCTGCCTGTTGGAGCCGTTCCTGGTGCCAGCTGCAGCCCGCCAGGCTGGGGCTGCCCCAGCAGCGGGAGTTGCTCCGTGCTCACGTCTCCCCGTGGCTCCTCTGGCTTTTCCACCTCTCTTGCCCAACACTTCCAACATGTCTGAATTGCTTGGCCTCTCACCATCCCTCCTACCTTCTACCTCACCCCAGCAACGATCAACAGCCACCCAGGTCCACTCCATCTTAGCAACAGGTCCCTACCCATGGTGCCATGGCTCTTCCCACCCCCCAGGGGTCTCTAATGGGAGAAAGACAATCTGCCTCCTGCCAGGACTCATTCCAGCCATCTGCTATCCATCGAGGTGCTTTTACTGCACCTCTGGCTGTGCCATCTCAGCAGCAGAGACGRCGAGATGGGGGGTGGCAAGAACTCAAACAAAAGCAAGAGGTAATGATTAGAAAGAGACTCCTGATTTGTCACAAGCCATCACAGACGTCTCTAACAGGGCTGATTTATGTAGCGTATTTCAAATAGAAAACAAACAAGTAGAGAGCAATGTGAAAATACTTGAGAAGGCCAAGCCAGCTATAAACATTTGCAAGGCGCATGCTTGCCTTAGGTTTCTTTTTATCTCTTTAAGAGCCTGTGCCCCATGGTGCCTTTTATTGTCACTGCACATGGAAACAAGCCCAAAAGATCGCTCTCAGACACAGTATCCCACAGAAATGAGTCCCGCTTCAGTCCTCTGTTGTTACAGAAAGTGGTGTGATTTTTTTCTTTGCTGGTTGTTAGCTGCTGCACCAGGCAGTGGTTTGCTGAAGAGCGCMAGGGTTATTTTTCTTGATGTTGCTGTTTGCTTCTGGAAGCAAAGGATGGCTGTGCTGAAAACAAGTTTGYGAACTGTACTATGTGACACAGCCAAGTTATTGCTCTAAAAGGGCTAGAATGGTTCCATTAGCTTAAAAACATGAGTACTTGATAACCACCTTTACACTGAGCTTGCAAAACTACCATGTCTCAGATTTTTGGTTGATTTTATCTTGTTCCAAAAGGAGCAAGAGGTTTTCCTCAAAGGCTGCGATAGGAGCGACCCACTCKCACACAGGCACACAGCACAACTCGGAAATCAGAGATACTCACAGCTTGCTTAGGCTTTCCAGGCCAGTAAAGGCTCCATTGGTATCTTCTATTGTGCCTGCGATCTCGTTGTGATCCAGATCCCTGCAGAGAGGAGGAGAGAGTTCACAACCAGCGTCTTAATCCCAGGCTTATTGCTCAGAACAAAAGAAACACAGTTTAAGAAGGGCTAACGAAGCATTTCCCGTTTTCTCCTGACAGTTATCAGAAAAGCCAAGTCTTGCTGCATAGCAGCACTAATCACCTTCCCTGCCCTGACTCACTGAGACGGCGCATTCCAAAAAGGGCCTTGGCTCTTCCATAGCTGAAACCTTCTGTGTTTCAGAGTTAATAGATTTTTTTAAGAGGCCAATTTGAGTCCTTTTCTAGTTCCGTGCATCCAAATTGGAGGGAAAAGAAAAAGAATGAAGTCTTGAAACTAAATGGAAGGAACTGAAGGGAACTGACAGACAAGACACGGAGTGCACAGACCACTCGAGTGCAAGTTTCACTTGTTTCACTGCAGGATAGATGGTGACCACTCCCGACAAAGGAAAGTTTCTTCTCCACCTTCCCACTCAATTCCAAAAACCAACCTCAAGTACAAAGGTTTAACAGCTGCTCTTAAATTAAGATAACTTTGGCTATTCCTATGTATAYGTGTATTTGAATACAGTTATATTTTCACAACATTATTTGGTCCATTTTCTATGAAGCTGTAACGTTTTCTGGCAATGAACTTGAAACCTCTGCAAAGAAACGTACTATCATCACTACACAAATCTAACTCTCTGTATAAACACTTAAAAAAAGAAAAAGAGTAAGAATTCCTTTTTCAGAATTAGCTTCTTTTGGCTTTCGAACTGACCATCAATTACAAGAGTCAAAGGGATCTGAGGAAAAACAAGCACAAAGAACAAACACAAAGATCTGCAAAACCTGTTTAAACAGTCTGTTTAAAAATCCTTCCCTCCTGTGCTTTAACTCCAGCAAGCGATGAATACCCAGGACCACAGACAGAAATTTATCATTTCTAATGCTAAGTAAAAAGAAAGAAAAAATAAATAGGCCTTGTTGGTTTTGTTACATCACTCAAATTTAAACGCTAGTAGAAACCACCACCAAAGTAAACTTACTCATCCAGATAACCCACCGCACGGACCCTCAGATGCCCCTTTTGCGCCTTTTGAAGATTACTGTCGGAACAACAGTATTTCCAGTTTAAATAAATTAAGACCAAAAAAGAAAAATCAGYCCCTGCATTTTGTAACGTCCCAGGCAGGGGCATCACGGTGCAGCTTCTGAGGTATGTGGCACAAATACACAACAAACCACGAGAACAGAAATAAAACATAAATCCCCCAGTTTTAGTATTCACGGTATCTTCCTCAGTCAGGACGGGGCTGATTCCTGCCCTTGGTGCCCAGGCTGGCTGCAGTCTTTGTTTCCTGCCTTTGGTGTGTGAACTCAAGATGAGAAAGACGATGGCCAGAAGCCACAATTCCTGCTTCTCCRCCAGCTCCAGCATGAGACCTGAATCCCAGGTCCCTGGGAACGCCCGGCCTTTGCCCGAGTGCCCGTGGGGCTGGGTGACCCATAGGCACCTCCTGCCAAGGGGATGGATAAACGTGGCGTGGCGGCAGCCACGCAGAGTGCAGGGGTGATGAGAGGTGTCGAGGAGCCCCTCTCTGATGTGCTGACAATTTAAGCGCCACATACATGGGGCAACAGCAAATACTCCTCCTGGATATCCTCTTTCTGCACTTCACTTATGGTGCCAATGCCAGTTGTTTTATTCGTCTTTTTACCAGCTAATCCCTTTCTCCTTGGGCATTTCTTATGTTCAGTTCTACCACAGACAGGCTTCTGGTGCAGACCCTTGTCTGGTTCCCAAGGCAAATACAAGTGGGAACGGCCCAACAACCTGACACACACTTTTATCACCAGACTGCCACATATTATGTGCTCTTGAAAAAGAAGAAAATGCTCTTGCTTGTTGCTACGCTTGTTCTCCTGGAGGCAACTCAAAGGTTTAGTGTCAGAAAAGGATGGAAAAAAAAAAAAACAAACCTTTTAAACAAATAAATGAAAATAGAGAGGAGGGGGGGAAAAAAGAGCGGGTATTTTGGGCTCAGTCTCTTTGTATCCCAGCTCCTCTCCCAGCCCCTGTTGCCAATTTCCTATTCTTTCTGGCTGGCTGGGCTTGAATGCTGCAGCCTTGTTAATCATTGTGCAGCGGGCCCTGGCCTGACCTCCATTTGAATAGCTCCACATTTCAGCAGTTTCACACCCACCAAAGGCTCCTCCACAATAGCCCATAATTAAAGCAGGCTCGGGTCTTTTTCACCAGGTGCAGGACCCAAAAGGCCTTTCTCTTTATTAAATTAGAGCTCGCTCACACACTCTCTCTCCTCCTCCCCCCTCAGCCCTAAACATAAAAGAGGCTCCACAGTCACTGCAGAGCAAAGAGAACTTGCAGCTCCCCTTCCCCTCCATTTTTCTTTGGAAACCTTTAGTTCCGGTCCTGACAGCGGCCTCCAAGAAGTCCCTTTCTGAATGCCCAGTGGCTGAAAGGCTTTGGCCAAAGTTTAAAAAAAAGGAAAGAAAAAAGGAAAAAAAGAAAGAAAAGCAGCAAACAAAACCCAAACTCACTTTCCAGTCACTCCCTGCACTGTGAACTTCAATAAAGAAACAAGTAGGATGCAAAGAGTGCTGCAGAAAGGGGAGATCTCTCTGTTCTCACTTCCTTTTAATTACTCCGTGCATAATGGGCCTCTGAAGAGGAATGAAAGTACCAAAGTRCACTTGTTTTTGAAGGAAGAAAGTACTGGCCTGCTGAATACAAGCAGTCTGGGAGCTGGGGCAGGGCTGCAGGGGCTGTGAGAACTTGGTGGTGGTTCAGGCAAGTTCTGGAGAGCGCAGGAGTGCGGCCAGAYGCTGGGCAGGCGCCAGGGAGGGAGGAAAGCACCAAAGCTGCAGGAACGGACATTGCAAGAAGTTTTGGGGTCATCTGTTGATGTTTCCAAGGCAGTCCATGGCTTCAAGCTAACATAACTCTTGGGCTTGGCAGTGTGCACCAGAGCTACACAACAGTGCTGGTTTCCTGGAGGATGTCAGACTGGTTTATATAATGTGTGTATCTATATAAAAATCTATCAATCTATATATCTCTGTTAGTCCTAAACTAGAAGCTGGTATCTGGACAAGCAAGCCCATTTCCAGATACCATGTTATGCAAGTCCTTCAAGTAGAAGTCACCATTAAATGGCCACAGCCACCACTGGGAGAATCATTTGGTGTTCAAAACTTCTTTCTTGACACAGCACAGCAACATTTCTGGTTTTCAGGTGCTATCGTAAGAGTCAAAGCAACTAACTCATTTCCTAACTCAAGGCAGGCCAATTCTGCAAGTGTTGCACTAAAGGGAAAGACTCCTGGCTACTTTTACGGTAGTTGCAGCAGCTTCCTGATCTCATGGCTGGGACCATGACTGGGTGAAGCTTTGTATATTGCCATACTTTTAGTCAGAAGCTAACCCAAACTCTGAATCTCACTGGTTCATTTCTTCAATGTTTTTCCTCTCAAAACCATTTTAACATAGGATTTTTTATGTATTATTCAATAAAAATTAACAGCGTGCAGAAATGCCCGGCAGTGCCGTCAACACAGCATTCATAGTGTTGTCACTGCAAGGGATTATTCTTTGCACCTCTTGAGTGTAGAGTGACCTGACAGAGAAAGTCCTTCCCTAAGGATTTCCACTTAAGTAAATGAGATAGCAAGGGAAATCCTGCCATTAACTGAAGACTGGAGTCTCAGGGTTTCCTTGATCCACGCTAGATTCAGGAGCTCTTTTCCTGCAAAGCAGAAATGTTTGGGAAGGGGAGCTGGGGGCAACTTACAGGACGCGCAGGTTTTTGAGTCCCTTGAAGGCACCTTCTGCAATGTGGCTGATGGAGTTGTGGCTCAGGCGCAGCACGTGCAGCCCCGCGAGGCCCGCCAAGCTCCCCTCGTCCAGCCTGGTGAGGTTGTTGTAGGACAATATTCTGAGGAGAGAAACAACAGGTCCCATCAGCCCAAACCAGCTTTTCCAAACTCATCCACAGCGACCGGCGCCCGCCTCCCATCAGGAATGCAGTGTAASCTGGGTGAGTGCATGACAGTGTGATCAGGAAACAAGGCTGCAAATCCGTCACAGGATACCACGGGCAGCAGCAACGGAGGCATCTGCTACCCATTTAAAAGCAAGTCTTCAGCTGAGGAGCAGAGCAGAGGCTCCTTCCAAGGTGATTCACACCAATAAMCTCACAGAGATACTATCAGCTACCCCGGGAGCAGCTGCCCTCTCTCCACGGATAGTGCAGAACAGCCAGGTTGGGGGTTGGAACCCCAGACACAGAGGACAGTTTTAACTCTAACACTTTGCTATTAGCAAGAGACCTTAGGCCTGGTTCTGGTTAGTCCGGACTCCTGGACTCCCTTTGAGGACCACAAGACCATGCACCTCCCCTGGTCCCCAGGCCCTGCCAGGTTGCGAGTGACGACAAACATGGATTCCCAAGCTCCACGGTGCCCTTGGCAGGCTCCGTGTGCAGGAGGGCTCTTATCGCCCGGGTACTTGTGCTCAGGCAGCCCCAGGCGCTGGGCGGGGGTGTCTCCACCCCGCTGGGTCCCGAGCCAAAACCTTTTCACCACAAGGCAATCGGAGGCTTCCTTCCCACAGGAGGCAGAAGGCACCGGCTGCTGCCACCCTCCCTGCACAGGGCGCACCCTGCTTGAGATCCCATCCACTTACAAGTGGCTAACACTGCAGGGTTACTTTTCTTTCTAGTCTTCTGTCTTGTTTCCTCTCTTTTTAGTTTTATTTTTTTCTAAAGCCAGAGTTGTTTTGAATAAGTACTGAAATCCTTTGCTGTACAGGCAACAAGAAGAACAAAAAAAATCTCACTGAACTCCAAACCTCCAAATTCTTCTTCTAGTCCTGCCTTTTAATGAGCCTGCTTAAAAACGCGTCAAGGGCTTGCAAGAAAGTGACTGCAAAGCCAAAACCTAAGTCAAAACAGACACATATTCCTGAGCACTGAGAGGGCCCTTTACCTGGCAAAGCAGCTCTCTCTTTTAGCCATGAGAGTGGGCAGAGGGCAAACTCTGGAAGAAATTCAGCAAGGATTAATGAGCTTCCAGAAGGGATGGGACAACACACCTCCATTCCTAAAGAAGCTGTAGTGTTAGTTATGAAGAACTGGCATCTGGTCAAAATTATGTCCTCACCTGCAATTAAAGAATTTGGCTAATAAAAAAATAAAAAGGAGAAGTGTTCAAAAGTAATCCTAAACTTGGCTGAGAAAAAAAGAGCAGTTCCCCTTGAATGTGCACAGAAGATTTCCTGTCACAACGGGTGAAGACACGTTCCCCTCAGCTCCTCCTGGTGTCACTCAGAGATGGATGGACAGCAGCAGGTTTTAGAGGGCTATCACGATGGCTGTGGCCAGATGGAAAGTTTCAGCAGCTGAAACACCTGGCAGGGGCTTCCTTCAGCACWGACGGTCTCTGCTTCCTGCCAGTGGGAAAGGCCATTTTGCAAACTAATGCATTCTGCTGCTCAGCAGTTTAGATTATCTAGCTTGAGAGAAATCAGCAGGTTTTTGCTGCTTCTCCTAGATTCTCATCTAGCAGTAAGAAATCACTGGAATAAACGTGTGGAAATGGCTCATCTGCACAACCCTTCTGCCCTGGCAAGGAAGTGGGTGGAAACGCATGAAGAGCAGATGCCAGAAGTGTGAAGTAATGTAAGAAGCACGAAACAGAAAGGGGTTACTCAGGAACCTGTGGTACAGCTGGGACTCCTGCTGCCAGGCAGTTCTGCACGAGCTGCATCTCCTAATACACTCCATTCCCACTGGCCAAACTACAGGCATGAAGTGACACTTCCCATGGAAGGACATGGAAGACCCAGACGCCAACTCATCACTTAGGTCTGGTGACATCTTATGCCTCCCACCATGAATTCTTCCACAATGAGGATGTCTCAGCACCTGACTGCTGGTGAATATCAATCCTTTCTCATGCCCACAACACGGAATGAGGCTTCTTTCCCTGCTGTCTTTTACATTAATCCAGAGACTTCGGGTCATGTTTTCTCCCAGTGACCAACGGGGAGGCAACATTCACCTTCAGGTGGTTGATTGCTGCCTCCAGCACAGGAGAGCAGGGGTCTGGCCACCTCACTTGTTTCAGCTGAAAGTCAGCTGTTATATAACCACAGAAAGTAACTGAAACCCAGCAGATTTAGCAATAGGGGAGGCAAGCAAGGATCTTTCAATAAGGAATGAAACATATTCATGTAACTGCATAGAGGCTGTCTAGATATACATAGTGTTTCCTTTCCTCACCCTTCTATTTCACAGCAGATCTCTCCTACAAGCACTGCAGGAGTTTGACTGTCTGAGGGCTCCCTGCAGCAGCCTTACCCTAAAGGCAAAAGCTGCAAGAGCTTGTAGTGTTCTGCAGAGATGTGGGCTAGCACCCACACAACCACCCCTCCAATCTCAGCCATCACCGTCTCCAGCCTCACACCCCAGCACAGTCCTGTTTGTCAGGACAAAYGTGTCTCTGTCTCGGTGGCTTCTGCCACCTACAGCACCAGCCATTTCCCCCAGCTGTGCAGCAGGGCAGGTGACTCCTGCACTGGCTTCCTGCAGCCGCTTAGAGACGACCTCGAAGCCAGAGCAGCTCTCGCTCCATACCTGACACAGGATGGGCTCAACACCACCTGCCATCTCCCACCTACAMCAGGAAGGTTTGCTGAGACAGTGTCAAGCAGAAAAGACAGGGGTACTTCTCCCTGCAGAGTTCTGATGGCAGCCAGCTCTGCAGGGACAGCTGGCACTTGCCCACTCCTGAATTTTGGCTGAAATGCAGGGTCAGTGGGGACATCAGACACTGGCTCCCTGGTTTGCTGCAGCTCTGCTAGCACTATGTGGTGACCTGAGCTTCACTATTCCAAGGACTTAAGGAACATTTAAGGAAGGTCAACTCCCCTCTTTCTGATGCTTCAGATTTAAGCAGGCCTAGCTTGGAGCACAGTGCTGATTCTGACCTGTTGCCTTGAAAATTCCTGCATTGGCATTGCCTTGAACTAGTTAACTATCACTTGTGGCTCCCACATAAAGGAATACAGCTGTCTCCAGCATCCCACCAAGCATGGGAGCTGTTTAGCATTGGCAGTCTCAGAGCAATTTGAAAAATCAGGAAACAACTATATATGTATTTTCCTAAAAGAAAAAAAGATTGTGCAATGTTTCAAAAAAGCATAACTCACATCTGTGTGAATCATTTGGGTTCAAAAAAAGATCACATTTGGTCAATGGGTCAATTCTAGAGCCTATAAACTTAGATGTGTGTTATGTCCAGATACTTTTGAGTCCACACCCCAGAGCTGATCTTCTGTGAGTCCAAGAGCAAGGCCTCTGCAAGCAGACAGCTGCTTTACCCTTCCACTTGTTGTGGAAAGAGCAATCCCTACCAATGTTTAACATGAGATTTCCGAGCACCAAGCAGGAGGAACTACTGTTCATTCCACTAATCACATGTATAAAGTTCTCCAAAGAAAAAAGTGAATTTGTGCTCAGTACCACAGAGAGGATGACAGCCACTCCTGTAAATACTACAGCCATCCACATGTGTCTCTTCAAAAAGGCATTAAGCAGCACCAGAGACCCAAAAGACACCCTTGTGGGGCTATTCTCAACAGCAAGGCTCTTTTTCGTTTATCAAAGAAATGTATTCACAGCTGGAAATCTCAGGAGAGTGAAGCCAGTGTATTTACGTTTCAACAGCTGAGCCCTACAGGAAGGGTAAAGTGTAAACAGGAGAAACAAGGAGAGCTGCCTCTAAGGGGCCAAATCACTTCTGGTAAAAAAACACGATTGTTCTTTGTGAACGTGGAAGACAAAGCAAAGCTTCCTTCGGGCTGTACAGTCATTATTACATGGCAAGCAGTGCGTGTCTCATAACTAACTAGCTAGAAAGTGTTGGCAAGCCACAGATCACAAGCTCTGCAGGTCTTTTGGCACTGCATGCTGTCAAAGGCCTCTAGCCTTTGTTTCTGGGGCAAATGTATTTTAAACAGGTGCTCCAAAGGTCAAAACATAATGAATAAATGGGCATCACTAGAGGCTGCATCTCCTGATTTTACAGATTGATTCAGTGGGCCATGTGATGGGGGAAATTCCTTATTCCCCTTGACCACCAGCACTCCATTAGCATCAAACTGTGCCCAACCATGACAGAAAACAACTTACAACTCATGCAGCTTTTGACAGAAGCTCCATCCAGCCATGCGGGATATGGAGTTGTTACTGAGGTGAAGCTGGTAAAGAGAGGAAAGGCCATAGAGAGACCCACTGTTGACTTCTGTCAGGCTGTTATACTCCAGGTGCCTGGGGAGAAAAAGCAGAAGGAATTGACACAGCAGCACTGGTCAAATGCTGATGAAGTTCCAGAAAGAACCGGGTTTCCTACATGTGTCTACACACCACTGCGGATACATGCAGGTATGGGCTTTACTTGTGGCAAGTCTGCGAAGAAAATTCAAGGACAATCTAAGCAAAAGGTTTCAGAAGGTTTTCACTTAGCAAATGCCTGTCTGCCATACCCACTTCCACACCTCCTCTCACTACTGAGGCAGACACTTTCTGCCACAGTCACACAAGCAGCAGCTACTGAGCTGGTGCATTCTCAGGGCTTAATGCCCAGAGAAAGGTGTGACTGCAGGGCTCTGCCCCACTGCAAATACACCAAGGGGAGGGGGGCTGAAACTACCCCCTCTGAATTTGTATTTGCAGAGGTTATATATTTTCATCAGCTGCAGCATCTCAGTTGCAAGCAGCAGCTTCCAGAAACACACTGCCCTGCCACTTGTGGCCTTAGACACACACTTGAAAGCCAATCCCTTGGGAAGTTTCAAGCGTTTCTCTGGAATGACTGTTCAATTCACTCTCTTGTATGGAAAGAACACATCAATGAGACAAGGCAGCTTGGTTTCTAGGTATCCCAAGAGACAGAATAAGCAGGTCTGCAATACATAGTTTCCATGTATCAATCAAAATGACTCTGCAAAAAGCCAGATGAGCTTGTATTTGAAGACCAGCTGCAGTTTTACTGAATGTTCACATCACCCAACTTACAAATACCTCAAAGGCTTGAAAAACAGTTTTTCTTTTTGTGAACACCTGTTAGGACAATGTGCTTGAGGAAGCAGTGAGGACTGGCCCGAGTCTCTGATGAAGCTCTTGTTAAAAGGCAGGGAAGCACAGGATATTCAGGCAATGCCACGACTGTTTAAGAAAAAAGAACCCATCTCCCCAACTTACAGCTCTTGCATCTTGGCTAGACCCCAGAAAGCCCCATCAGTCAATTTGCTTATGTTGTTCCGCTGGAGTTTCAGGACTTCCAAGCTGTCCAGTCCCTGGAATGTCAGGCCTTCAATGAGGCGGATGCGATTCCGGTTCAGCTCCCTGCAATCACCAAGGCCACACAAGCATGTTACATCCCCGGCCTTGCTCACAAAATTGCAGCACACAATGGGGACAGCAAAGCCAACAACTCCTCTGGCAGCCATTCCCAAGGGAGAACCCAAGCGCACCGGAAACTTTCCATCACGGAACCAGCCAGGGAAGCCGGCTGGGTGTGAGCTCCTAAACAAACTCACCCTGGGACAGACATTGACTGTACAGAAATAATAGTGACAGTCCAGCAATTCCTCCATGCTCCTCCTCTCTCTGCACTTCTTTTAAGCCATTTATCCTTTTCCGTTTTCACACTTCATCCTCTTTCAAGCCGAGGCACCATTTGAATCAATACAGTTGCACATCAGCATTAGTTTCCTCTCAATCCATTGTTCTTTGGGGACTCTGACAGCCCAGTAAAAATGTGCTTGGACACAAAGGGTGCCCAATGACTTCTGAGCTCAAAAGCAAATTTTATGGCTAAATCTGAAAGCTTCCAGTTCCCTTGAAAACTTTCACCTCTTCTCCTATAAAAAACTAATAAAGAGTGAAATGAGTTGTTTCCAATAATGAGGCAGTCTTAGTATTTTGCATAAATAAAAACCTCTAACTTGTTTAATTAAACACCTTTTTTTCCCCTTTTATTTATTTATTTATTTATTTATTTTTTAATGAACAATGCTGTGAGGGGAAAAACCCTAAATCTTTGGCATATATTTATTTTTGAACAGTGGTAGGAATACACTGAGTTTCTAGAACTTACTTAAACAACCTTTTGTGAGACTCTCTAGGGAGTCTGAACACATCAATCACTCCAAACTCCAGCAAAACTTGTATTCCAAAACAGGCTGAKTTGATCCTTGTTTTATTACCTTTTTCCAAGTGATACAGAGAAACGCTGCAGATTAAAGCTCTCAGCTAGGGAACAATAACTTGTAACTGAGAGACAAGTTTCTTAAGATACGTTGGCCTCTGTGTCACACAGCTCAATTTCAAATTTGCCAATTCTGCACATATGCAAGCACAAATGTATACCCATTCCTTAAGCACACCTTGGTTTACATCAAAGGAATGCTCTCTGTCAAAAGGTTGCCATTTATAGGTGCAGTTTCAATCATCATTTGTAGACTTTGCATTAACAGAATCTCCTAACAGAGTTTAGCCCTTTGACTGCAATAGCCTTCAGGATGGGCCCACTTTCCCAGCAGAAAAAAACAGAAGGGAAAAGTTAAATCACTACACTTACTATCTACACATAAAACGTATTTATAGCTGCAAATGTCCATACGACCTCATACAGCTCCTCCCAAGTGGACTATGGGCAGGACAAGAATGATGTGTGATCTGGAGTACTGCTCTGTCTGCTCAAACATCACCTCGCACTTTAACAACCTTCCAGCGTTGCAATTTTATTGCCACATAAAGATACCTGTGTGGTCTTGAAAAACCAAACAAGGTGGTGGCTGAGCAGGTCACTCACATCTTCCAACCCTCCCTCCTTCCACAGAGCACCAACAGCTTTCAAGGGGGTAGATTTGTCTTGTGCTGTTAAGTGCACAGGACGCTGGTGTCTGCTGCATCCACGCACCGATCAAGAGAATAGCCTCAAAAGTCAATAGGGTACAAGACACTAATTTGCTTTATTAGGTGCTAGAACAGGACTGCTACACAGCTCGTTCTGTGCTTTATAGATAGCGGGTAATGAGGGTGACATTTGCTGAGCATATCCTCGGGATGTTTTGTCTCTGCAGAGAGTGGCTGAGCTTAATTAAAGTGCACATTTCTACTCACAGCTGTGTTAGCCTGGGCAGCCTGAACGCCTTCACAGGAAGCTGAGTGATCCTGTTTTTGCTCAGACGAAGTGTTAGCAGGGACCGTGACAGGCTATCAAAAGCACCAGGCTCCAGGGTGCTGATTCTGTTGCTCCCCAGGTAGCTGCAATAAATCATAGCAGAGAAATTAAGAGTTTTGTCAGAAATCTCCCTTTATCAGCATTTGGTTGCTCTCCAGACAGGCTGGTGAAATTACAGAGGTGGCTTCAAATCAATGAATTTTTGGCTGCACAAAAAGTGCAGGGCCTTTCCCAGAGTCATGTGAGGAATGTGAGAAAGTGCTGCAGGCTTCCTGAGAGCTCCTTGATACCCTCTGACTTCTGTAAGGGAATTTGGAGCTGAAGCCAGAAGCTGGAGAACATTCCAGCCCAGCATGACTCTACTCATTCGCTGTGTCTCAGACTTTTCCAWCAGCATCTGTCCTAGGGCTTTCCTATTTGGATCCTCACCTTGCCCACAGAGGTAGCTCSTACAGTACAAAGGGGAGACATCAGTCCCAACACGCGTCTCTCGCCGTCCTCTTACAAACAGGAGCAGAAACTTTGGTACAAACTKCATTGCAAGCAGATGATTTGTCTGCATATTTTAGGAATTGCCTAAAATGCTGATTATTTTTTGTTTCTTGGTATAGGCAAATAGCCAGATGGGAACGGGTTACTCTATAGATCCTCTGGTTTAGTGTCCATATAACCAAGGAGGGAATTCCCTTCTGAACATTCAATAACGACTTCAATACTGACAGTCATTTCCCCTCCCCACTTCCAGATACATATGGGCTCTGCTGGGAAGCAACATATACTTTTTGCACTGGAGAACAGCTACAGCTTTGCTGCAGACTGTTCTTCGGGCTTCTAGGTTTTCAGCTACACAGAAACCCGCACACCAAATGGGGGGAAAACTTCATCACTGTATAGGTTCCTATACAACAACAACAATAATAATAATAAAACTGCATTCTTTACAGAAATCCAAAAGATGGAGGTTTAATAAATAACCCGAAACAGTGGGGATAACACGCTACCTTCTAGTTCTCCTTTGCATTTAAAAACCTACTGGAAAACCTCATGCTTCTTATTTTCATTCCCTTTTCTTCCTTTACACAAGGTTGGAGGCCCTTTTCTCTGCTGTGGTAACTCAACAAAAGCCGTTCCCAACAAGRAAAACTCACAGCTCCTTTATGTGAAGTCCCTGCGGAAAGCAGCCGTTTCGGATTTCCGTGATGTCATTGAAACTCAGGTCCAACGTTTCCAGGGAAACGTAGGGCTTCAGTTGACTTGCTTCAATGCTGCGGATCCTGTTGTGATGCCTGAAAGGGGCAGGAGCGAAATTGAGACAATTCAGTTCTCTTAAAATAAATAAAATAAATAAATAGAATATCTGAGGCTACAGCAGGCCCATGGGCTGGCCACGGAGCAAACATGTTGAGGTTCATGGTACTTCTCTAACCGCTGTCCGAGGACCCACCAAGGACCCACCAAGTCTCTTCCCTAGTTCCTAGGTTGTTCCTATGAGCGGAGAGATGAGGTCAAAGACATTTTCAGGCTTTTGGACATTTTTTATTATTATTATTTGGTATACAAAATCAAAATCAAATCCCTTCTGCAGAAAGGAGGAGTTTTTCTTTGGGCAATTTGGGCTTGACTCTCTACAAGCCTCTACTTCCAGAAGTTTTTAAGCCTTCAAGGAAGAAGTGCTGATCACTGCCCATGTTTTACACGCAAGTTGGGATTTTCAAACCCATCTGCACCGAATAGATAAGTAAATATTATCTCAGGAAAAATTACTGAGCACTGTACCCCTAATTCCCAAGACCCTTCTGAGAACTCCCAACTTTGGACCATGTTACAAGGACTTGCAATAGACAGAAATACTCCATGAGTGTTTGTTCCTGCAAGCGTTTCCTCCCGTTTCCTTCCCTTTGTCCCACAGTGCTAGCAGGACAGTGCGGTAGCCCTGAGGTCCCTGATCGAGCACCGGCTGCAGGACGAGACCCTGTAACGAGTTTGCTGCCTTCTCAGCCCTGTCCTGGAGGGCTCAATCTCATGGTTTTCCTTGAAAGGACGCACTGCAAGCTGCTCTCAGGACTTCCTCAGCTGTCCAACAGTTAAACACCTACAGTCTCTGTCCATCTGCACCCAATAAGGTCTCACTGAAAATCCCCAGAGCTCTTTCCTCTGACTCCTTTTTTGCCAGAAGCAGTAGAGAGAACAGTAACCACCTAAAAGAAATACACTGTGCACTGCACAAGGAGCGAAGCACGTGCCTGCTGTGAGTTTAGACCAGTCACTGATATTACTGGCAAGCCTGGGACCGAGGTATCCAGAGACGCTCAGCAGACACTTGAGAAGTTGCTGAATAACAGGGGACAGCAGAGGGGGTCGAGACAAGAACCATCTCAAACAGCCACCGGCAGAGAAAGGCAGTGACGGGGCTACCAGCCAGGTGATCAATGTTCATTTGTAGCTGGGAACCACGACTGAGTTTCCCCATCCATGGCACAGAGCGGGACAGAGCTCTAGTGAACTTGGGTTAACAGACTGAACAAAATATAGGAAAACRCACTACATCCAGAGTCCTGAGCCCTCTATAAATTAAACCCGAGAGGGAAGAGATTGCTTTTCCCCAGAACTAGTTTCTTTCACATAAATTCAATCCGAAAAGCTGGAACTTGCTGAAGTTGCTAACACTTAACCCCGCTCTGAAGCAACAGAGCCCATTAGAGGAGAGCGCGGGAGGCGCCGGCGCGGGAAGGCGCCGCTGCGGACGGAGCAGAGCTCTGCAGCTCTGCCGTGGAGAGCTCGGCTCTGAGCTCATCGAGGTTCTTGTGGCCCAGATGAGTCTGGCTGTAAATTAACAGGAAATGAAGACTTGTACAAATGAACATCAAGAATCTATAAATTACCTGACAATTCCTGCACAGGGCAGCTAAGCCTGTATGGGAGGGAGAGCTCAGAGTGAGTTTGGACATGAAGTGCTCTGCAGAAGCCAATTTTTTTCTCCTTTTGAGTATTAGTATTTCTGCGCTTTAGTTGCTCAACATATATCCAGCCTGCCTGCCTGCCAGATCTCCCAGCCCTTCCCAAAGGACGGAGTTTAAGAAGGGAAGAAAAGAGCAGGAAAGAGATCTTGTTCGAGCCACGTTAGCYGTTTCCAGGTGACGCCTGTCCATTCGCCTCTTGCTTTTCTGGTGCTACAGCTGGCAGATGGGACAGACACGTTATTTCACACAGGAAAACAACAGGCTTCTTTTCTTTCTCCCCCTCTCCCCGTCTCCTTCAAACATGGGCTGCCTCCAGACACAGCTCTCGGCTCCGAACACCGTCCCCAGCTGGGGAATGTCAGACCGTTTGCTGCGGAGCACGGCACCCTCTCGGCATGCTGTGCTTCCAACCAAACCAGCCCYGCTGACTTCTCCCACACGCAGGGTGCCACTGGAACACCCCACCCTCCAAACTTCCTACCAGCTCGAGTACATCTTGGTTTTCATCCTTTCAGTAAGAGCTGAAATGTGATTTAACCCTTCCTGTTATTACTTGGATCCTTTCAGCCTGGCTCCTCCTGTTACCAATCGAACCACACAGCTGTTTAAGACAAGTGACATCATGACTTTATCCCTTTCCTTTAACAGSCACTGGAAAAGGGCTGGATTTTTACCAACCAGCTCCTTTAGTTTATCTTTCCAGGCTTCAAAGGTGACGGATCRAATTTTAGTACAAATTGCTGAATCAGGCTTTAAAGCACATCTTACTGGTGATCCCACAACCAGGGTGCCTCCAGGTGCCTTTTCCTCTCCCCCTTCCCTTACTATCACATCCCTGGAAGCAAATTYCCCCGTCTCGTTTCAGCCAGTGTTACCTCAAGAGTATAGGATGACAAGGCTTCAATGTGAGATTGAGCAATTAGAGCCAAGAGCTGCAGCCAAGTCTTTTAGTTTCTATTCCCAGCTYTGGCACTGACTCACCCGCCTTGGGCAAATTTCTTAACCCTTCTCTGCCTTGGGCATCTCCATCTGCACGGGAAGGTAACACTGGACCAGGACACGCTGCAAGGCCACGGTCACCGAGGGCTGTAAGGATCTGGAGTAACCTGAGTGAAGAATAATCCCTAGGTACCAAGGAGCCCATCTGGGTGCATTCCGGAGGCTCCAGCTGAAGTGGCGCTCGTCCCACTGGCCTCCCGGGAGCCTCTGCCGAACCAAGGCCATGCAGCCCGTGCCGGGAAGCGACCGCGCGCCCCGCGCTATTCTGGGCTGCTCCAAGACAGAAAAACAAGGAAAATGTTCCAGGGAAGCAGAGCCTGCTTGGGTTTGCTCTGGGGCGGGAGGGAACTGAAGGAGGGGGGGGGCAAGAAAACAACAGGTGGCGCGAATTCAAAAGCTTGCAGCATTTCCAGGAATCCCGGCTCGTGTTTTAGAGGTAAAGTTACACTTTAATCCCAGTGGGTTTCCTAGTTCGAAGCGCCTTGGTGAATATTTATTTGATAAACAGCCTGTGAAACTTTTTCCACTAGACTTAATAGGATAAGAATTCACCTTCCTCCCTGCCGCGAGCGCGGCCCTTGCAGAGCTGCTCATGGGTTTAATCCCAGCCGTGGCTCCAACCCACTCGTGGGYGGGGAGAGTGGCGCAAAGCCGGCCTTTGGTGCCCAGGCCCCTTTCGCTTCCCTGCAGCCGCTGCCCATCGGGAAGCAGAGAGTGGAAAATCCAAGCAAAGCCACGGATGGGAATGCACAGCTCCTTCTGGAGAGATTTAAGAGATCTCTGGAGAGATGCATGGTCTGGAGAGATTTAAGCCCAGTTGGTGCAAACGCTGGGGTGGAGGGCGAGCAGAGCTGCCGGAGCCYCGTGTGAGGCCAGGCGGGAGCAGGGCCGGGTGCCGCGCTGGGCTGCGCCGTGTCGGCTTACAGGGCTCGCGCCGAGAAGAAAAAGGAAAGCCTTAATACAGCAAAGCTATTAAACCAGCACCTGTTACAGGCATCAGAAACAAAATGCAGCTTCAAAAGAGCACAGCTCCACACCTCTATTAATATGCAAGCACGTCTCCAAAAWTAGCATAGGAGAGAGACCACAGAGCTAGGAATAGAGAGATTAAAAAGTTCAGAGTTTGTTACTGTTTCCTAACAAGGAGAGGCTTTAAAAAAAGCCAGTGCTAGAGTGAGAAAGAGTTATGGGGGCTGCTACCGAAGGACACCCAAGGTTTGATGTCAGGGACAGGTCATGCACAGGGGGCATGGCCAGAGACTGGATCAAAGGCACCGCAGCTCGAGTGAGATGAGATAAGCTGTGACTAAGCGGGGCTTGGAAATACCTGCCCTTGCTCTTCTCCATCTCCTCAGGAATAGGGATTTAGCACAGATCCTCCTAGAAACACTGAAAAAGACTCAAGATATCAGTCCCTAAACTCTTCCTCTTAGATGGAAACACCTGCTGTCTGATTTTAGTCCCTCACTCACTATATACAAATAACACAAAAATGACCACAGAGGTTCCTAATAGAAGGAAATGCCCAAGTTTTTTCCCTGGCAAGAAGGAAGGAAAATTAATTATCTGGACGCAGAGTTTCTGCTCCCAATTCCAGCGTTACCACGATCCATAACAGACAATCTGCCCCAAGTGACTATTAATATATGGAAACAAGGAAAGAGGAAAACACTTTTAGGAACTGGACATCAGCTCTGATACAAAGCTCATACATTTTAACAACGTGGAGCTTTTCGCATAGTTTTAATATCTCCTTATTAAAAAGACTGTGCTTCCAAGGCCTTTTATTCCAGCTGAATTCCCCTGCTGTATCTCCTTTGTTTCCATGCCTGAGACCGTCTCCTTAAAGGCTGAAGCGTGTGAAGAGCCCAAAGCCCTGTGCTTCCCAACTGCTCCGGGACAGCCCCACTATCTGCCCAATTCCTTGTGCTGTAACCAGGATAATTCATGAGGCTCAAGACTTTTTACCATGAGAAGACYGAACACTTTTGTCCAAACGTGCACCCTATCAGCCTCAGGGACCAGCCCCGCTTTCCTTTCAAGGCAAAGCCTCCTGGGTTATCCTCCGGGCAGGAAGCGAGGCTGCGTGGAAGCAGCCCCCACTTTTCTCAGATGCTCTGAATCACTCCTTCCCTCAGGAATCCTGGCAGATTCCCAGGGCCGCCGCAGATCCAGCTCTGTTTGTTCAGGTGCCGGCTGCACGCAGGACGAGGCTGCAGCAGTGGCAGCCCCAGCAGACACCGCATTGCAGGGTCACAGCCACAAAAAAAAGAAAAAACCCACGCAAGTTTTACACGTGTCCTACCTACTTCCCAAGATCTAAATTC